CCCCCGCCGCCGCCGCCGCCGCCTCCGAATGGGACGCGCTCCAACAGGCGGGCAAGCGGCAGCGGCTCAGCCGGTAGAATGCGCCCTCGGCTCTGCTCGGCCCAGGGCGTGCCTGTACTGCCGCGCGCCGCGGCCGCGGTAGATCGCTGCATTAATCCAACCGTTCTTTCGGCTCTTCAGGAGCCTAACTCAACACTCACCCGGCGAGCCGAGCGCAGGCGGCGCCGTCAGCGCCGGCGGCGCGCCATGCGGCGGCGCCGCGCTCGCCACGCGGCGCCGCGGCGACGGGGGCGCCTCGAATCAACCTGTTGGGCGCGCGCGCCTCCGCGGGGGCAGCCGGTGCATGCGCAGCAGAACGCGTGGCTGCCACCACCATGGGGCCAGCGGGCCGCCGCGGTACAGAAGCCAGCCCTGCCGTTTTGGTCCATGCTTATCGAGTATCCTTGACTTGTATTCTCCCGCCGCCGCGCCGACCCTGCGGCCGTGCGCGGGTGCGCCCTGAGCTTGGACGATCCGCACCGCCCCCGCGAGCGCCGCGCGGCCGTTGCGGGCCGCAGCGCGGTGATGCATGCGAGCTCCGGCCAAGCCCGGGCGGCGCGGAGCCTCCCCGGCCCGATGCGCAACGCCGGGGCCGCAGGCGCGGCGCCGGCGCAGCTACGGGGTAGCTGCCGGCGTATGTCCTCGCAGTCCCCCGCCCGTGCGCCACGCGCGGTTGGTAGGCGCGGGCCGCCCGCAGGGTGCGGCGCGCGCCTGTGTGCGCTTGATGACCAAAACATGTCCAGGCCTGGCGCGGCCCCTTTCCAGGGCAACTCTTTGTCGCTCCGCTCGCTCCATCGCCTGCACCCGCGGCCCTCTTGTGAGGGCCCGCGCATCATCTTTCGTGCATACACACTGTCTGGAGCCAATACGGTGCTCGGCGTAGCGCGCCCACCCTCGCAGCAGCCCGCGGCGCGGCGCTCAGCCAGCTGAGAGCAGTGGGGCCCACGCGGGCCCCCATTTCCTGTGCCGGCATGTGATGCAACAAGCAGCCTGCATGTGCGGGGCCATGGTCACCCGCACGCATCTGTTGAGCACCAATCAACCAGAATCCTTGACCCATGGTGCTGAGGCCTCGATCCCTGCAGCTCCAATCGGTCTGTGTGCTTGGCGCTGCCGGGCGCTGGCTGGCAGCGTGCGAAGCGTGCGCAGCGCGTGAACAGTGACGGCGGCGCCCGCGGCCCCACCCCTCATCTTTCGACCGCACAGCACCGAATTGTTGCGCCGCCTGACAGCGGACGACTCACATGGTCTGCATACTGGAACAAATCATGTTGATTTGGGGGCACTTGGGAACCTGTGTAAATTATGCGAGCCGTTGCCTGAGGCAGGACACTCCGTCATCACCTGGTCAAACTACCACAATTGTATTGCTGCACCTGAGCTCTGGGCGAAGACGCTCTCCGTAAGACCCCCAGAACAGCTTTGCATCTGATAAATGCACCGTAGGGGCGGGCGTGCGACGCGGCACAACAAGTTGGGGCAGCAGGCACCATGCATGTGTGATGGGCAGACAGCAGCGTTGCAGGAGTTGAACTTGGCTATTGTTGTGTGTTCAAATATGCGTGGGGGATGGCGGCTGGGTACATTATACGATGCATCAATTCTCACCAAACTGGGAGGTACAGTAGCAGGCACAGGGACAGCGCAATTATAGGAGCGGACCACTTCAGCACTGCGAAATGGTCAGAGCTTGCAGCACTGGGCTGACGCCCGGCCACCGCTACCGGTGCTGGTTGGCATTTAAACTGCTATCAATGGAATGAGATGTTTTGAAAGCCATAAATGATGTAGTTCATGAAGCCTGCAAAGCGTTGCCACAGATCTGAAGCGTAGACCTCCCAGGGCTTCGCGTCAACGCCAGGAATTGTAGTGAGATACAAGGCTTTGCAACGCGACCCATGAGGAACGCGCTGGGGGAGCGCCTGATCGCCTGGGGCGGCCGATTGGCAAGCACACGGGTGAGTGCGTTCTCTCGAGCGCCCTTGTCGTGTCAAAGGTGACATGGGAGGAGGTTAAACCTTGGCTCTTGGCGTGGCTGGCTCACTCGCGTCTCGCTGACTTTTCCTGACTGCTGCACCATTGCAGCTGCTGCAGACACAGGCGGCCCCGGCCGTCGACCTGCCAGCCTCAGAGCTCATCAACAGCAGGGCCGCCCCTGCCAGGTCGAGGCATGCAGATGCAAGCGCGGCGACCTGCAGCGGCACCGGCAGCGGCAACAATGGCAAACCCAGCAGTGGCTGGATCGCTGCTGGGGGCAGCACCCCCCACCCCACATCTGCTGCAGGCCCTGTGAGAGGCAGCCTGTCCCAGCATCCACTGCCCCACAAACAACAACAGCAGCAGCTGCAGCACCAGCATCAGCGCCAGCACCAACATCAGCACCAGCAGCATCCGCAGCAGCCTGCACCACAGCAAATACATCAGCACTCACAGCCGCAGCAAGATCGACAACCACAGCACCTCCAGCAGCAGCAGCAGCAGCAGCAGCAGCAGCAGCAGCAGCGCTACGACAACTCCGTCCGGCAGCTGCAGGCCGCCGCCCGCGCCCGGGACCTCTCGCGCATGGCCGCCGCCTTTGACCCCGCGGCGCTCGCCGCCGCCCCCGACGGCGGGGCCGCCCTCCTAGAAGCCCTCATGCACGGCGCCGCGCGCGCCGGCGACGCGCCTCTCCTCATCCAGATCGCCGCCGCCGCGCAGCTCAGCGGCCTCCGCCTGAGCGGCCCCGCGCACCGCGCGCTGCTGCACGTGCTCTGCAAGGCCGGCCGCTTCGGCGAGGCGGGTGCGTGGCTGCAGGACCGCGTCGCGCCGGGCGCGCTGACCTGGGAGGTGGTCGCCGCGGTCGCGCGGCCCGCGGAGCAGGCGGGCGAGACGGCGGCGCTGCGGGCGGCGCTCGACCTCGCGGATCGCAGGGCGGTGCCCGACCCGGATTTGGGGCTGGCCGGCGCGCGCCTCGCGCTCGCCGCCGCCGATGGCGGCGTCGACGGCGTCGCGCGGTGCTGGGAGGGCCTGGTGGCTGGCCTCGCGGCGCGCAGGGCGCGGCCGGGACCCGCGCTGCTGGCGAGGCGGCTGTTCGCGCTGCACGGGATGCGTGCGCCGGCGGATACCCACGCCACCATGATGGCGGGCGCGGAGGAGCTGCTGGCGGCGCTGGAAGCCGCGCGGGCGCAGCAGCAGCAGCAGCAGCAGCAGCAGCAGCAGCAGCAGCAGCAGCAGCAGCAGGAGCAGGAGCAGCAGCAGGAGCAGCAGGAGCAGCAGGGGTCGGCGGCCGGACAGGACGGCAACGCGTCGCCCGCTGCGTTCGCCGTCTGGGGCTCGGCCGCGGAGCAGTGGCTGCCTGGCGGGCCCGGCGCCCAGCCCGGGCCCGCCGCCGGCGCCGGCTGCTTCGCCGGCGCGCCGCTGGCCGCGCCGCCAATGTCGGCGGACGAGGAGGCGGCGGTCAAGGCGCTCGACGCGGCGGCGGGCGTGGCCGCCAAGATGCTGGACGAGGCTGGCGTCGCGCGGCTGGGCGCGCGGCGCGCGGCGCTGGGGCTGCCGCCGACGGCGCAGCTGTACCGGGCGCTGCTGAATATGGCCACGTGGGGGCGCGGCACGCCAGAGGACTGCGAGGTGTGCGGGGCAGGGCCCGCCCTGGGTGCGTGTATGTGTGGAAGGGACCGGGGCCCCGGACCGTGCGGTGTGTGCCAGGGATTTGTGCGCCGCACGGCTTTGCGCGGTGCGGCGCGTCTGGAAGCGGCGGCCCGCCTTGCTCGGGCCCTGTCGTACCAGCGCGCGACGACGGGTTCGGTCAGGCCCCAACCTGCCTCGAGAACGCTCGCGCCTGTTTGCCAACAAAACGCTTGCAAACACCCGCCCCACCCGCCGCGGCGCGCGCGCGGGAGGCGCGTGCACCCAATTGGCAGCCGGCGGCGTGCGGAACGAATGCTGCAGGTGCCACGCACGCCCTCAAGACTTTCAAAGCTGTCAGAGCGGCAACCACCGGCACCCCGTATGCATGCCAAAGCGCACGCGTGCACCCAAACACACACACACACACATACACACACGCACACACGCACGCATGCACGACACGCACACACCACCCCTCCCCGTGCAGGCCCTCCTCGCCGAAATGCTCGGCTGGGGCGTCGCCCCCGACCTGCGCTGCTACGAGGCCCTCATTGACGCCCACGCGCACCACGGGGACGGCGCCGCGGCGGTGCGCGTGCTGGACCGAATCGAGGCCGCGGGGCTGGCCGCGACGCACGAGACGTACCGGCGGCTGCTGCACGGGCTCGGCGCCACCGGGGACCTGCGGCGCGCGGCGCAGGTGTGTATGGGGGGGGCTCGGGGCAGTGG